TGAACGTTATGCTCTGGTCAACTCGTTATTACATTTTCCCGATGAAAATATCGATTAGAATTTTTGATGGTTGACATAGAGGTGAAGGCACGCATCTCACGCGTGTATATGCACCATCAAAAGTTTCGTATCGTTCGACACAAATTTTCCATTTAAAATCGTTCACAATTTTGATTCGATCATCTAATAAAACGAAATTACTTTTCGAACTAAACGTTAAAAGGGGCTGCGGGGGGGGCGCGGGGGGAGAGAAACTCGACGAATAAATTGTTCAAATGCACCGAGAATAATTTCGTTGAAAATGAAAAATGATATTTTTGTTAAAACAATAAAATACATCGATAAGTACGATCTAAGAAAATAATACAAAATGTAAAACATACATACAATTTTTTATTGAAATTAATTTTACATCGAGATTACTTTCAAGGTACTCATTTATTTTGTTTTGTTCTAAATATATTTGAGATATTTCATTTATTAAAATATTTGTCGCGTAAAGATAAGAAACTTTTGATCGACAGTATATGTACGATGTCATTTCTCGTCAAACGAAATTGCAGGATGACGTTTTTAGCACGATTGTTATCATCATTTTGTTCACTTAAGCATCTCATACCGTTGTTCGTATAAAAGCTTTTATTTTATGAATCCAATGGAAAGGGGAAGAGCAATTAATTTCTCTCGAACGACTTTCGAGTCGATCGTTAAGATCACGACTATCATCTTGATTTTCTTCCTTCCTTCCTTCCTTCTTACGACAACGACAACGACAACGACAACGAAGAGTCGGATTTAGCGATCGTAAATTTTCTTCCAACCTTGAATCGATCTTTCGTTGGACACAAAGCTTACTACTCTACGTGTTTTACGTTTAATCCTTTTACTTGTTTTTTTTTTTTTCTTTTCTTTTCTTTTTCTTTCTCCACTTTATATATTCCGTATTATATTTTAGATTATTTATATATATATATATATATTCGTATCTTTATATTATTTAAGAAAAGTTTAACATTCATTTTTTTTATACACTACCATAACCATAAACTCGATAACACGAGGGAGACTTGTAAGACACCCTAAACCCCCCCCTTCCCACCACTATCCCACCCCACACACACCCCGTATCCTCCTTATATTAAATTCGTAAAAGATAATATAAACAAATAAATATACTCGAGTAAAAATATTTACGAGATATAAAGTATATATAAAGTTTATTTGGCACCTTTCAAAATTCGGCAACGAGATCATTGAGGGGTTTTTTTTTCGATGGTATTCTCCTCCCCATCTTAGCACGAACTTTTATTTGACCATGTCAAAATTTTCTTTCCATTCCTTTCCATTCCATTTTATCTCTCTCACCCATCTTTTTCTCATTTTTCTTTTTTTTTTTTCTCGAGCATATATTTAATCTTACGAAGAATTCACCTTAGAAAACCTGTTTTTACTCTAAACCCCACCCCACTCCACCCCTCCTACCCTTTGTTAGCATATATACTTATTTTTTTTTTTTTTCCGAACCGACATCAAGAACGAAAGCAGAGAGTTGGCTACGGCCCTAACAAATTGTTCCTTCTTCCTTTTTTTTTTTTCCTTTTCTTTTCTTTTTCTCTTTTTTTTTTTCGACAAATTTCCACCGCTCACAAAATCATGCGAATGACCCCACGGGCCACGGGCGAAATAGATACGAAAGATTATACGAGGGTGGGTTTAGGGGGAGGAGGAGGTGCATGCAGGGGGGGGGACCCTAAACGGTATAAACAATTTTTTTTTTTTTTTTTACATTATGTGTGTTATATGTTTATTCTTATTATTTTATCACATTACGAAAATTTCGAAAAAAAGCTTCACGAATATAAAAAGGAAACAAGAAAAAAAAAAAAGTAAATCTATTAACGATTTCAATTTTTTTTTTCTTCTTTTTTTTTAATTTACCTCTTTCATTTCATTGTGTTGTTTATTTTTTTATATTTTATCTCGTAATTTATTTTTTTTTTCAAGTGGCGCCTCTCTCTTTTCTCTTTCTCTCACTCTTCTCCCCCCCCCACCCGATTTTCACACACTTTCTCTTTTTCTTTCTTACATTTCGAAGGAACGTTATTAAATGACACATGCATCACACACACACAACGCGAACGGGTAGAAGAAATTCAATATTTTATATTTACCGACGTTTATTAGTCTCACGGTGTTTAACGCGATACGCATTATTTAAAAATAATATTCAAAGGAACAAAAATATATAATTCTTTTTTTCACTTAATAAACTCGTTTCAAATATGTACATACGTATGTATTGTATATATATATATATATATGTATATTCATAAATAAATAATACGTAAAACTTATCATTTACGTTAATAACAGCTGTGTGTATATTTTCACAAGATATAAAATGATTATTTTTATTTTTTAGGGGGGGTTTTACTAGAGCCCAATGATCATAATAATGATGATGATGATGATGATGATGATGATGATAATGATGATGAATACATTGAAATTTACTGTTGTCGGATAAAAAGAGAAAAACCGAATAGTACTTTCCTGTTCGATACGTGTACAAGTACCAAGGTTGTCTGGATATGTTGGAGAAAGGAGAAACGGCGCCATTGACGATGAAGCGATCTTATGGAATCCATTCTGAGCTTCTTCTTCTTCTTCTCCCTTTATTAGAAAAAAAAAAACAGAGAGAGAGAGAGAGAGAGAAAGAAAAAAGGAAAAAAGATGTTTCCATATACTTTTTCATTATTCCATATACTTAGACGTTTAAAATCGGTTGTGCAAGAACACGTGCGTCTCTTTTAACATTAAATATCTCACATATAAATGAATTGATGTAAGAAAAATGATGTTTTGCCAACTGATTATAACATTTCTTTTTTTTTTCTCTCTCTCTCTCAAAATTGTTATCGTATAAATGATTAATTAATAACAATAATACGATTCACATTAAATCCGAATGAAATTTATTCACGAATATTCACGTTTACGTGAGAGTCGTCAATTTGTCATAGATGAGAATACTCAAAGGGAATTATAAAAATTAAAATAATTTTTCCCCTCCTCTTCTTCTCCCTCTCCACGAAAGTTAACATCTTTATGAAATAATTAAAATTCTAATAGAAAAATGTTTACGATGAAATTAATAAATGAATGAAATGAATTCTAAGAGATATTGATATCGGATTTTCATCTATTTTTTAAATTTAACTTTCACGAAAAAAATAAAAAGAGAGAGAGAGAGAGAGAGAGAGAGAGAGAGAGAGAGAGAGAAATGGAGAGGAAAGGGGAGAGTGAAAGGGGAAGAAAGAAAAATCCTAAAGATCGATTTCACGTTTACGTGTCGGATATTGCGCAAGGAACACATTCGAAAGGATTGTAGTATGGCCCCTTACTGGCCCCTTCTTACTGGCCGTTATTCTGGCGTTCGCTTTCATTAACGAAAGTATTTCTCTGCTATCCGTAGTCCCGTGTCTATAATACTTATCCTTTTTTTTCTCTTTTCTCTTGACTATATACCTAAGTTTATCGTTCTCGCTCTCGTTTGTCCGTTAATCCCGTAACTCCCGACACTTTCGAACATTCTCGAAAAACACATTTCTTCCATTTTTAAATTACTAATAGTTACGATATTTTTCATGTATCAAAGAAAAAGATAAACAAACAGAAAGAAAAGAATTAAAGAAAGAAAAGAAGAAAAAAAAATAAGATAGTTGAAAATAAAAAAAGTAAACGAAAATTATAAAATGTTAGGATGAATCCCAAAAGTTCCTGTGGGTTTTGTTGCGTTGAAATTTTTTACTTTGAAACTGCAAAATGAATTGTGTTTTTATTCTTTTGTAAAAAAAAAAAAAAAAAAAAAAAAAGGAACTTTTTGGAAATGTTATTAATTTTCAAATATGCACGAACTTTTTTAGTTCATCCTAATATAACAAAAGAGAAAGATGGATGATGATGGAATGAATTGAATGAATGAAAAATTAGCACGTTCCTGTCTGTAGGACACGAGGTAGGAATTCAACAAAGAAATAAGATACAAGGAAGAAGTGTCGAAAAAAAAGAAAGAGAGAGAGAGAGAGAGAGAGAGAGAGAGAGAGAGAATCACCCCTCTTATACCTGCTATAACCTGTAACATTCTTCGAAGTATTATAAACCCCAGTATAGTATGTGGGTGAATATACACGTTAGATCTTTTTTAGGTATGAAAAATTCAACAAAGACGAATATAACGAGACGAACAAGTTGGAAGATTTGTTCTTTCTATCCACATTCTGTTTATTCTTCTCTTCTTTCATTTTGTATTTTATTTTTTATTTTCTTTTTTTTTTTATTTTTTTATTACTTTTTTTTTTTTAATCTTAAACAAGCCTAAGTTTCTTTGGACCGTCTGGAACGCTGACGAAACCGTTGAGAGTGATGCACTCTAAACATTTGATTTTTTGTTTACCTTTGAATAAAAAAGAATCCACATTATTTTACAAATTTACATAACATATACGAACTGATTTTAAATGTGTAGTACGGTTATGGATCACGCGTATGCGTAAAAATATGTGTTTTTTTTGTTGTTCAAAATAAATGAACGATATTTCAGTTTAAATCAATTTTTTTTTTTCATCAAATTCTGTTTCGCACGCGAATGAGTATAAAAATTAATTTTGATAAATGATTAATATAGTTCGTTACTTATACGTAATAATAATTTTATTTATTTATCAAGCACAAATGTGGGTAACATTAAGAATATATTTCACGATTAAAAATTATTAATAAGATTGTAGAGGAATGTGTAATCGAATCAGAGACATCATTTGTTTTGTTACAAATAACAAATGGAATTTAGGTTAATTCTAAATAGTTCCGGGATTGATGAAAATAAATGGAAATTCTTTTAATTCGTGATGGATGTGTCCATAAAGGCTAGTGGTAATCAAATTTCTCAGATTAAGTTAGAGGAGGAGGAGGAGGAGGAGGAGGAGGAGGAGGAGGAGGAGGAAGATGAGGAAGAGGTTTACGAGTTACGTAATCTTCGTGAGGCTGCCAAAATCGCGAGCATTTATCATAGAACCGATCGTAAATTCCAAAGGAATAGGAAACTTTCTCACATTGTACACGCCGCTTTGAATTTCATGCAATTTGTAAGACATCACCACGCATATAGATGCATAAATATACATATATAAACGTAATAATAATAATAATAATTTATATTACAATATATACAAAATATTTTAACTTTCTTTTTTTTCTCTCTCTCAACACGCGAGATTTTACTTTTTTATTTCATAATATTTATATAGATTTAATTAAATCGTTATGCACATAAAATAAAAATAAATTTTACATTTTAATTGCGATAGTTTTATTTACAAAATATAATGAATATCACACAAAACTAAATTAATTATTTTTTTTTTATAACATTGCGATTAATAAATTTCTACGTAACTTGATCCTTAAAATTGTAATCAAGTTAAAAGTATAACTCGTATATCAAAGAGAGTAATAAACAATAAAAATAATAATGAAAAAAAGAAATTAAAATATAGAAACATATCGTTTTGGATTACGTCATGGATGCACGAACTTTGAAAAAGATCCTCGGACATACTCGGAACATTCGACGCATCGAGATTACCACTTCTGGGTCATATTTATGCATATATATGCGTAATACGTATATGAATAATATATGAAAAATGTGTATGTATATATGCGTATATATTATGTCGTATAACAACTCGCTTTACTCGGTTCGTAACGACTAGCTTGACGCAAAGAAAACGCGGAAGCGAGTTGACCTGATTTCGAGAGGAACGAACGAATGAACGTAAGTGTGTGTAAAAGTATAATACTACACACATACACACATACACAAATATATATATATATATAATATATTACATATATTATATATGTATAGGAATGAAGGTGAATCAGAAAACTCGCACGTAATTCTTTTTTCACGATTTTATGTAATCCGAAACACAATTCGTTGTGCGACAAACGCATATACACGCATTCTAACCGAACAACGAATTAATCATCTCCATTTCGATTTTAATCATTTAAGGAAGACAGACCTCTTTCTTACATTTATTTTTATTATTTAATATCATAGGTATCGAGTGTTAAGCGTGAATGCATCCTCAGAGAATGCACTTTTATTTTGGCCTCGTGGCCTACTTTTTTTTAATCGTTCTAATTTGTAAATACTGATTCAATAACAAAAAAAAATTTACCTTTTTAATCTCTCTTAATGTTTTTTTGTCTTTTTCTTTCTTTTTTTTTTTTTTCTTTATACAGCTTCTACTATTAATTACCGAGATATTTAATCGCGTTCATCGTCGTCATCGTGAAATTAAAGAAAATTTGCCGATTATCTTATTCGGGGAAAGGAATATTATCTTTTTTTTATATCCAATTTGTATGCTGATCAGTTTGATTCTTGCGGTTCTTTGGTTAATGAAGAAATTCTTACCGAAAAGACCTTTAATTGTGAGTACTATTTTACTTTTTCTTTTCGATCAATTAAATTTTATTAATTCTAACGAACGATAAAACGAGAAACGATTTTCATTTTCATTTTAATGATAAAATCGTTGTTGAAGGCACTTATAGGATGTATTTTTGGTGCAATTTCAATGCTATCAGCTGGTATCATGGAAATGAAACAAGTAGACTGGTATATTAATCTTCATGAGATCAATGATGATCATTCAATATTTGTTCATAATATTTCCATGTGTATATTGTCGATTTTTATTATGACTTTTTATTTGATACACCTTTGGATCCTTTTCGACGTATGGCAATGGGTTAATATGAATTTCTAATTAATACAAAAATGATAATGAAGTATACTAATTTCATGACGTGTGTAAAAATGATGTTGCTCGTAAAATATAATAATTAAAATTAGATTTGTATTAATAAAGTTTCATTAATACAATTCTAATGTAAAAACACGCTATAAAATGTTTATTGGAAATTTTTTTTTAGATGAAAAAATTTGGAAGATCATCGGACAGTAGCGAATCTGAACATAGTTCGTATTTGAGTACGAATAGCGAGATAATCGAAGATTCTTCTAAATCATTTAATAAAATAGAACAACCAGGAAAATTAGATCCCATTCCTGCATTGAACAAACTTATCACCAAAACTCCGATCGATTATACGGTTAATATTTATTATAATATGAATATACATTTTCTCAGAATTATAACATTGTTAATTTCTTAATATTTTTTAGTTACTCGATGAAGAAACCGTTATTTTATATTGCTGTTGCGTTGATTGTTATAATTATATCAAGGATAATCGTAAAATGAAGCCTAAACATGAATTCCAAGTGATTCACGTATTATAAAAATAATCAGTAATTTCCGTGTTGGTCAACAGTTAATATTTTATCGAAGAATGGTCCTGTAGGAATAAAAAATCACAGGATCTTACTTTTCGAAGATAAGTTATTCGGTGAATAAGGATGAAATCTGTATCGTTGGTTGGCAAAAAAGATTACTGTATGAAATATATTTAAGAAGATAAAAGCGAGACCTAGTTTGTTGTTTCTGATCGATAAAACAAAACTAATTTTACTTGCGAATTTTCTTTTTCTTTTTTATTTATCAATCCAAATTTTTAAAAAATCATAATTCTATAATATGTGTATGTTTGTTTTTTTTTTTTTAATAATTAAAACATTTCCATCTATGCGTTATATGTAAAATCTAATAAATATCAAACATCAATTTTTTTTAATGTTACATATTTTATCATATTTCCTAAGATGATCATTTTTTAAATAAATTTGCTAAAACGCGAGAAAACAAAGAATGGGATGGGGGAGGAAAAGTAGTTTCCTCTAACCATGGGTATCAACTTTTCGTCTCGATATCGTATTACCTCTAAACCATTTTCTGCACTTATTCCGATGACACGATGAAAGTACTTGGAAGACAAAAAAAAAAAAAAAAAAAAAAGAAAAAGGGGAAAAAAAAAATAAAAAGAAAAAGTTGGCCCTTTTCATCTCGGCTTCCGGTAACGTCGTAACGATCCTTGTCGTGTTCTATCCTAAGAAATAAAGATAAAAGAAGAAGAAGAAGAAGAACAACAAAAAAAAAAAAAAAAAAAGGGGAAAACTAAGGGAGACTAAGTTTAGGATGAAAAATAAGAAAAACAGGAAGAAGAAGAAGAAGAAGCAGGTAGGAAAAAGAAGAAGCGAGAAAGATGAAAGTTACTGCGTGAGAAACAAACTGGCAGGACAAAACTGCAAAACCCCCTTATAAATATTTATGGTGGTACCACCTTGAAATCCTTCCTCAAACCCTACCCACCACCCTTGACGACCCTAACACTACATATCCGCATCTCAGTTTGAAAATACCGTGTTGTCACGTTCCCTTTCGGTCGGTAACACAGATCGCATTGTAATGTCCTGTTTTACCGAATCGTAGTATCCGGATACTGAACGAGAATCCCCGAATAATCCTCGTGTTCGAGGGTTGTTTTCCCTTCTTCGTTCTGGGGGTGCACGTGCTACGCAGAAATATTGGGAATACGTGTTGTAAGAAGAAGAAAAAAAAGAATACACTTCCTTTTGCGAGGAAGATTGCATCACAAATTTTGAAACCTCAAATCTGTTTTGAAAGGGAAACCTATGGGGTTGGGAGATAAGGAAAGAAGAAAGGAAGAAAGGAAGGAAGGAAGAAAGGAAGGAAGGAAGAAAAGAAATACAAATTTGTCTTTTAACAGTGATTGTAAATTACAATAAGATAATATTTTGTTAATAAAATTGACGATTCAAATGTATTATCTTTTCTGAAGTAGTATTTTCGAGGAGAGTACAAATTATTTTTACAAATATTTTGTCGACGTACGAAAACAAAATTCTCTACTTGTAAAATAATTGCATTTTTTGTTTGTCCTTGTTCTCTACTTTTCTTCTTTTTTTTTTTTTGTCTTTTTTGTAGCAACAACAACAACAACAACAACGAAAGCAATTATCACAGAGTGAGAAAATTCGATAAAACGTTAAATGGTTTTGTATTCTCAATAGAGAAAGGTAGAGTGTAAGGGTTTTCATCGAAAAGTAGGAGAGTAGACAGGTGATTGAAACAGTGTGCCAAAGGTGCAAATTTAAAGCGACCAACGCGATTAGCTGACCTTCTGTCAAACGCATTCATCTCGTGTGTATATAACCGCAACACGTGCATTTATAATAGTAGTAGTAGTAGTAGTAGTAGTAGTAGTATTCATCCATAGAAAATATGCTTTTGAATTTATAATGGTTAAAAGTTAACGGCAGTCGTTTATTGACATATTCCTAAAGAAACTTTATCGAAAAATAAAGCGACTAATAATCAACAACCAATCAAAGAAACGATGATGTTCCAAATGGTATCGTTTCAAAATTCGTCATCCATTTAAAGAGGAAAATTAATCGAATCTTTTATAAAATCGATTGAAAACAAATCGAAAATATAATAATCACAAAATTATTTAGAAATATATCCTTTAACACACGATCGTAATTAAAGTTCGATCAAATTTTTCCGAACGAATCAATCGCGTGCAAAACCACAATCTGATTAGAATGAAACGCATAGAGAGGGAGATTAATTCCCGACGTTAGCCCACTTAATTATATGCCGCACAGTCGATTCTCATAATTAGTTCGCAAAACGGTATTAACCGATAGAGAGGAAGAGACAAAGAGAAAGAGAGAAAGAGAGAGAGAGAGAGAGAATATAGGAATAGTTCGTTAATTTAAACTCGTCTCTCCTCCACTCGTAACACACATACACACACATACACATACAAATCCGAACATTACATATATAATGTAAAATCAATAGCTTATAGAATCGGATCGAAATGATAATCGGTCAAAGTCGATAGATTTAAAACATGAAATTTCACTTGGACCTTTTTTTTTTTTATCGAGCTATTCAGAGAAAGAAAGAGGGGGAGGGGAAGAGAGAGAGAGAGAGAGAGAGAGTTAAAAAAGAAAGAAGGAAAAATAAAAGGGGTAGAAATAAGAAAAATCAGGCTTTTAGCAAAGGGACAGCTAAAAGACAGATTTATTCGGAGCCTTGGGCAAAGATCACCCTTTTAGAATACCCACCCACCCCTCGTGGACTTTAACAGGCAGCCGTTAGACGGCAAGTCCTTTGATGTATGCGCCCGTCCGACATGACCTACGGCCGTTCGACTTATGTGGGAAGGGATCGACGGTTAGCTAACCCAGGGGTCACGAAGAACAGATTCCGTATATAATATATTCCGATGTTCCATGTGGAAAGAGATTTACACGTGGAAAATAGCAAATGGTTATGATATAGTTGAGAACGAAGTCAAATGGAGTTAGAAGTCAAAGAAGGTGGATGAAATATTCCTACCGGAGAGAGAGAGAGAGAGAGAGAAGAAAAAAAAACGTATTTTCGTATTTTATATGGATAAAGTCGAACAAGTGTTTTTTTTACCCCATATTTTCTATCAAAACAACATCGCCGATTGCTTTAAAAAAATTGTATTTCGAACGACATTTAGTTTTTTGTTGATAATCCTAACAATTAATATAACACGTTTGTACTGAATTTTGTTCAAATCTTTATCATAGATACGAAGACATTTTTTTCTCCTCCTCGATTCAATAATAAATTTAGATATTCAATATGGAAAGTGATTCCCACCTCTAAAATAACGAATGGTTATGATATAGTTGAGAATTAAGTAAAACGAGAGACGTCGAATATATTTTCATATTGGTATTCACGGGTCAACGATGCTCACCTGTTAAACTCAAAACCACTGACTCCATTGGGTCCGACGACGAGACTTCTGCGGTTTCCGCAAGCATAGTTTGACACGAATGAGAAGAGAAGGTGGTTGAGTGGATCGTATGGGAGTCAAAGAGCATAAGAGGAATTCAATACCTCTAATGGAAGGGTCAGGTATCGGCATCTGCTGCTGCTAGTGGTGAGTTGGTTACTAGTCTTGGTGCGTTACTGATACGACAAGAAGGATTCGTCAAAAGTCACTTTTTTTTTTCTTTTTCTTTTTCTTTCTCTTTTTTTTTTTTTTTTTTTTTTTTTTCATTTACCTTCGTCCTGTGTGCCAGAAATTAATTAAACTAATGAAGTGATGTCTGCTTGTGGGATTCACAAATTCACATTTTCTTTATTCCCTTTTATCTTGTTCTTTTTCTTTTTTTTTATAGACTTCCGTTAGATACGGCAAAAAGAGAAAGAGAAAAAATAAAAAAAAAAAAAGACCAGACTTTTCGATAGCCGAAGGGGTAACTATTGCAAGCCATGCCACAGACATGCTAAAAGAGAGTTAAAGAGATGGAAGAGTCAGTGGAGTTCTGGGAATAGGCTCGCACGTACTTCTCCTTGATTATTAACGTCGGTAATTCAGCTTTATCGACGATTGCCACTCCGTAGGCGAAACTGTGGGGTCGGGACACCTCTCTCTCTCTCTCTCTCTCTCTCTCTCTCTCTCTCTTTCTCTCTCTCTCTATTTCACACATATATACATACATACTCCCACCATCTGGCAAACCCCACGAGTAATCTCCGTACGCGTGGGCTAATACGTTGAAATATTAAGTGCAACTTCGCTATCGTTTTTCTACCGTTGCCCGTCTGTTTTTCTCCGAAAAATTATGAACCTAGAGAAATTCCTACCACTTATGATACATCAACGAATAATATATAATAAAAACAAGGCATACGTCGTATTGAAAAATTTATCACGATATATGTTTCATTATTTATTGAAATATTAATTTTAACGCCTGGAAGTATGCAACACTTTAGACGTCATTGGAAATGTACCCCCTGATCGTATGCAATATATTACGTAAATGGAAGTATATTATATTGTTCGTCGTAAAAGAACATGTTTCATATCTTCAAAAACGTAATGTTACGATTTTTAAAAAATTCTATAAACAAAGATGTGTAAAATGAATTTAAATAAAAAAAAAAAAAAAGTAAACGAAAAGTCTACCTGCAAAGGTGATGTCACTTTTTTAATGGCTACAAAAAAGGGTCCCGCGACTCGGTTTTATTTGCCGAGCTGTCTAATAAGACAGGAAAACCCATGAACATGCGTTTGTCTGTTCTGTTTTATTCTTTTTTTTTTCTTTTTTTTTTTTATTTCCTACCCGACGCGTTTGCAGTTCTAGTCGGTGAAATTTACAACGTGTCGCGACTAACCGAGAGATAGGTCACGTTCTATGAATAGTGGAATTAAATTTGAACAGGAAAACTACGTTGGGAATTCTGGAATATTCGTGTATTATATATAATACAAATAGTTGGTAGATTCTACGTGTAAATATATATATATAAAAAGATATAG